AGGGATGGGGTGCCTGGGTGATAGACATTGGGGAGGCATGTGCTATGGTGAGTGCTGTGAATTGTGTAAGACTCTAGAATCACAGACCTGTACCTCTGAAACAAATAATACATTATATGTTAAAAAAAAGAAGAAGAAGAAGATAGCGGAAGGGGAAGAATGGGAGGGGGAATCGAAAGGGGAGATGAACTATGAGAGACTATGAACTCTGAGAAACAAACTGAGGGTTCTAGAGGGGAGGAGGGTGGGGGGATGGGTTAGCCTGGTGATGGGTATTAGGGAGGGCACGTTCTGCATGGAGCACTGGGTGTTATACGCAAACAATGAATCATGGAATACTACATCAAAAACTAATGATGTAATGTATGGTGATTAACATAATAATAAATAAAATAAAATAAAGAAAAAATAATTAATAAAAATGCTTTTTTTTCCCATTCTTCTCAGCCCCTATAAACCTGGCCATCATTTGTATCCACTTTGACTCTCTTCAGAAAGAGAGAGGGGAAATAATAAAGGGAGGGCAAATAAAGATTTTGGAGATAAAACAATAATGAGGATATGTGCTTTGGAGAACTTTATGCATTTTAATTGATTATTAAATTAGTTAAGAAAAGAAAAACTCTGAAAACGAAGAGCATCATATGCTAATATTAGCCAAACAATGAAAATAACTGACATTTAACAAACAGCTACATAATCGAAGGTAGAATATGTATTTTTGGACTTTCTGAATGCATTAACAACATAATTCCTATAAGAATTTGAATTTACCTGAACGGTCCTTTTTGCAATTTTATGCTGAGATATTGAAGGGAAAGTTTTCAAAACACTAATTTAAAGATCATCCTATAACTGAAACACAGCTGTTAATGTTTGCATACTTACTTATTATTACACATCCAATTCTTCTGGGAATCCTAAAGCTAAGTGCAAGGTAAACTTTCCTGACAACTTATGGAATATATGCATAAATAATTTTATAATACAGTCTTCACCCACCCCAAGAGGAAAAAACAAAACTTAAAGTATTGCAATTGTTTAAATTAATTTTTAGTTTTTCATGGGTTTTATGCAGCAGAATTTTTCTATTTATTTTATTTTTATGAAATCATACCACCATGTTTAATCAAGTCATGTATCTACACATATATATTTGTATACACACAAAATATAATATATACAGCAGATAGGTAGGTAGGTAGATAAGTAGGTAGATAGGTACAAGTGATGGATAATTTTAAAATTTTGTTATAGAAGTGTTCTCCTGGGGTATTTCCCTTTTTTTAAGATTTAATAGATGTACTCTGCAAGTTGCAATTTTCTTTCCCAACAGAACTGGAGGTTAACAGATAGGGATTGCTTCTGTTGGTTCTTCACTGAGAGATTAAAACAAATTACAACACTAAGAACACATCTATTCAAATGCTTGGGTAATTTGCCAGATGATCAGAATATTTATGAAAATATGTGTTGGCTGTTCCTTTACAATCTAGCCAGAATCTTACCATTTCTCACAACCTCAATTATTGCAAATTTCATGGTCCATATCTCCATCAACAGTTTCTGGGATTATTTCTATAGTCTTTTAACTGGTCTATTTCTTTCTTTTTTTTTTTTTTAAGATTTTATTTATTTATCTGAGAGAGAGAGCACAAGCAGGCAAGAGGGGCAGAGGGAAGGGAGAAGCAGGCTCCCTGCTGAGCAAGGAGCCCAATGTGGAGCTGATCCCAGGACTCCGAGATCATGACCTGAGCTGAAGGCAGAGGCTTAACCAACTGAGCCATCCAGGCGCCCCTTAACTGGTCTATTTCTATCCTCACTTCCTAGTCATTATTCTCCTCAGAACATCACATTATCCCAGCTTCACAACGATAAAGGTAATTTAGATCTAAAGGCACCCCGGGCTTCCCATACCATGATCTAATTCACGTTCTTGGCCAGGCTTACGAGGCTGTCCATAATGCACCCTTTCTCTGCATCTGACCTTATCTCTGGCTAGGGACCCTTTCACTGGCTGTACTCAGCCCACTGGCCTCCTTGCAGTAGCTGCTGGGTCTTTGTGGGACATGCATCACTCAGAACCACTACATGATTCATTTCTTGCTTCCTTCAAGTCTCTGCTGAAATTTCACCCTGTCAAACTTTTGTGACCACCCCACTATAGAAGCCACCACTCTCCATATTACTTGTATCCCTGTACCCTGCTTTACATTTCTCAAGCTTGAATTTATCACTGCGGACAGTGCTTTTGGATTTATCATCTGTCTTCCCCAACTGAGTGGACGCTGCTTGAGTAGAGGGAAAGGGTCTCTTTTGTTTACTGCTCTATTCCCAGAATCAGAGTACGTTCCTGGATTTAGTGGCTTCCCCATCAATACCTGCTGAATGAAGGAGTGGATGTTAGTTATGGACACTGAACTTTATTTAGATGACAAATTATTATGCCAGCAAAATGGACAATTATTCATCCACTGCAGGAAGAAAAATGTATTTTGTATACTTAGAGATAAACTTTTCAGACTGCTTTTCTATATTATATAAGTCAATTTTAATAATGTTATGTCATAATTTTACAAAACTCAATTTTAATCTAGTTAAGAGAGAAAATTCTGCAAAAATTAAATAAAATAAATTCAACAAAATAAATGACGTGACTCTTTTTATGAATCTTTCATTAGCTAAAAAGGGAAAAGTTCTGTTCTTACAACTTTAGTGAAGATGTATAAGTGAATAATTACAAAAAGTTGATTTATATAACTAAATCATTACTTTCTTTTTTAAAAACAACTACTTTCAAAGATTATGCCATTTTGATATAATATAAAGACTATGGTTAGCACAGCACTCCCTTTTCAATTGTGTTTAAAAGTAAATAAGCGTGCCACACATTTTTCCAGATTGACACTTAGACACCAATCATTCATTGGCAGAGATGGTAAATGTGTGTAAATAAAAATAGAAATATAAAACATGTGTAAATATAAATATACATACATATATAAACTTAAAAATATAGTATATACAATATTGACTCTTCTGTACCTCAATTTTACTTTGTGAACTTAGTTAATTTAATACTTAAATTTTATGAACTGTTGATGTAGAATATTTTCTATTATTTTTTCAGTATTAAGAGAATACAGGGCGCCTGGGTGGCTCAGTTGGTTAAGCGACTGCCTTCGGCTCAGGTCATGATCCTGGAGTCCCAGGATCGAGTCCCGCATCAGGCTCCCTGCTCAGCAGGGAGTCTGCTTCTCCCTCTGACCCTCCCCTCTCTCATGCTCTCTCTATCTCATTCTCTCTCTCAAATAAATAAATAAAATCTTTAAAAAAATAAATAAAAAAATAAGAGAATACATATCTGTTCCATTTAAATTAATATTTGTAAGTCATTTAAATGTAGTTATTTTTTCTGAAAAAATAAGTAATAAGACTCTTACTGACATGTTACTGAATAGAAAAGAGAAAAACAGGCAAAACAAGAACAAACAGTAAAGAACTAAAGTTCAGAATTTGACACATAATTTTTAAACTGTACTTTGAAAATTCAACACAAATGCATAATTTTGCTGAATGAGATCATGTGGTTAAAGTAATTTCTAGAAAAGGTACAATTTATGTGCAATAGTGAAAATAAAAAGTGATAAATAATCTATATGGAAATTGTATTTCTTTTCAGAATTATTTTTATTGTCATATGTACTATTTCTGTTAAAATTCAGAGTTCCTGAGCAAATATGGAAACAGCAGCCTAATTAATGGGAATGACTGCAAAGATAGTTCTTGTAGGCTAAAATAATCACAATTATTAAATGTATAAGATATACTGTGGTTTGGGGGAAATAGAACATACTTTGCAGGAGTGGGGAAAGCAGTACTAAATTGAGTTTCACTAGTTTGCCTGCACTCCATTACTGAAAATTCCTATAATTTGCTTCACTGTTATGGAAACAATCTACACACCCCAATCATAATTTTGATTTTTCTGTTGCTCACATTTGCATACCCCTTCTTCATGCCAACCCAACGGAAGACAGACTACACTCTCGCTAATATTTTGAATTATGCTCTCCCCTTCTGCAATTCTCTTCTGTAGCAGTCTATTTAATATTACTAAATGGCTTCCCATCACAGTCAGCCTTTCCCTCCCTCCCTCCCTCCCTCCCTCTCTTTCACTCTCCATCTCTTTCCCTCTCTCTTCTTTATCCTTCCCTCCTCCCTCTTCAGCCTCTCCCCTCCTCCTTCCCTCTCTCTCTCTCATGAATATTTCTTTTCACTTATCTCATTAAAACCCCTTCAAGCCCAGTATTACCCTTGTTCATTTCTTCCATTCCTCAGTAATACAGGTTACTGACATAGGGATTCTTCCACTATGATATAAACTCTCACCAACAATATGTGAATTAGATATTTATATTCTCAGAGAAGTCATGAGAGGGGCAAGACCAACTCTGGTGGGGTTAGAGTTTACTTCTAGATTTTTTTTTTAAGATTTTATTTATTTATTTGACAGAGAGAGACACAGTGAGAGACTGAACACAAGCAGAGGGAGTGGGAGAGGGAGAAGCAGGCTTCCTGCAGAGCAGAGAGCCCAATGGGGGGCTCAATCCCAGGACCCTGGGATCCTGACCTGAGCTGAAAGATGCTTAAAGACTGAGCCACCCAGGCGCCCCTTACTTCTAGATCTTATTTTTAAGTTAATCTTTTTGTTTAAGTTTGTAACAATAAAAAATTAAATTACAGTTAAATTCTGGAAATAATTTTTTAATAATTTAATCAAATTAATAGACCTGTTTCAACAAAAAATATATATATCTGTTGAATTGCAGAATACAAGTGCCTGAAGAAGTGAATACTTGGGTTACCTGGGCTTTTTTTTTTTAATTTAAAATACTGCTAACTGAAGAAAATTAAAATTTCTGTCATTTTCAACTTTTTGTCATTTTGTTCTTTAATTAATAGCGGGTAGTCAACTGTCCAAAAACTTGTCTGTGTACCTTTTTCAATTTGATGACTCCTTCTTGTGTATCCTCATCTGTGATGATGTCAAACAAATTTCCTCCATCTCCTGGAACAATATTGTATTCAATTTCTGCGTTTTGTCCAAAATCAGGATCCACAGCTCTTATTCTTCCAATGGCTGAGCCAATAGGAGAAGACTCAGGAACTTTCAGATGGAAGATACCTGACAAGGAATGTATAATTCATATTGACAGTGGAGTTAGTAAAGAGTATAGAAAGATTACTAGGATAGAAAAACATACTATGTAGAAAGTAGATCAAATTTAGAACATAATAGTGCAAAATCAAAAGGGAGTTTGCTATCAAGTTAAGAATATGATTAGGAAAAATAACTTCACTTTTCTCTTCAATAGGTCCTGCTCTAGAATTTTAATTGGGAATCGTAAATAGTAAAGTGTGTGAAATTTATATTACTGTGAGGAAGTATTTTACATCATAACAGCCTCAAATTGTACCTACTATCGAATGGAAGGGCAGGAAAATCCATGTAATTAATTGGTACCAATAGACTAGAATCCAGGATACAAGACAGAGATAAAATGAAGATAGATGATTGATAATTAGATATTTATAGAAAGTTAAGGTTATATTTTTAATATACATATAGATGTTATATATTTTTCTTATATATATATTCCATACATTTATAGACAGTATTTACCCAGTAAGTGTAAATCATTAAGCTAAAAACAGCCTGTAAAATGATTGTGTGAGGTGCCTCGTTAGCGCAGTAGGTAGTGTGTCAGTCTCATAAAATGATTGTGTGTTTGGTTAACCAAAATTTTAATCCATAATGAATTTAAGTATATTATACTATTGACTAATATTCGACTTATGTTTAGTGTTGAGTAGATTTTTACTGGGTATCCTACAAGGTATTTTCACACACATCTAAAATCAGGATATAAAGTTCTATTTAGCTTTGCTTTTTCAAAAAAAAAAGTTATTTTTCTTTATTTTTCACCACCAGGTGGAGCACATATATTACCATGAATTTGATACTGAGTCAGAAAAACCCAGAAGAATTCCAATCTATATAAAATATACCAGAATCAGGAAAATTTGTAATATCGCTTAAAAATCAAAATAAGGAAAGGAAGACTATGGGCAGAAGTAAAAATGTGAAGGCAAAACTAAACTAAAAAATATAGTTTAAATTTTGATATCTGCTTTCCAGTTTTAATTTCTATTAATGTATTTTGGATTGTACTTTACCATGGTTAAAGCAACCAGGGTAATTAATTTGTTTAGAATTTGTAGCTACATTTAGAGAAATTAAATTAGGAAGGCCTTTAATATGTTTCTTGAATGGTAAAGTTCATTCATCAAACTACATTTCAATATTTCAGCTATTGCCTTCAAGAAATAGGAGGAAAAAATAATCAATCACGCCTTGTGGAGATCTTGCCAAATACTTTCCTTTTTATTCCCAATTATTTTATAAGTCTTGTAGCTCTTTCACGGTTTCAAAATGTGGTAATTTCATTAGACCTGGTAGCAGTTAAACCTTGTCATATATTGCTCATGTCCCCCCAATAAAAAAGATATCCGCCACTTGTTCCTATAATGTCAAAATAAGCCTTATTTACATTCACTGGACATTACCTCATTGAAACATATATTTAATCTCAAAAGAGCTAAATATTTACTTAAATTTGTTTGATTCTATGTAAAAGAGAAAGTACATTTTTGCTGTAATCCAAAAATAGTTGTTCAAATAATTTGATAATTACTTAACAGTATACCTGCTTTCAAAAGGGAATATGTCAAATCTTTCTAAAAGAACAAATTGAAAATTTAAATAAATAAACAAATCAGAACACAGGCAAATAATAATAATAATGATCCAAGTGGTAATAATGGAATGTTACGTACACATTACAAAAGAATTTTGGTTAAGGAAAACATATTAACTGATCAAGTTAGCAACTTTTCATAGGTTAGGATTATGTTTCATTAGATGTTATTCCCTAAACACTTCACACAGTGGCTGTCATCGAGAGATGCTCAAAGTTTGCAGGATTTACAGTAGAGTTTGGACTTGAGGCAACCAGAGCAAAGAGGAAGACTAAAATCATAGGTTGCAATGTGTACACATTGTCTACAAGAAAGGTAAAGACAGATATCCAAGGGGGATTTGAGTTCAAATAGACATAACTACATAAACAGAACCTAAAGTGACTTTTGCAGCTTACTTTATCTACAGAGTGTAAGTATTTCACAGTAGCCATATTAAACCCTGATCTGACTGAAGCACTTGTGAATACTAGCAAAAATGATGATGCCTGAATTCTTTTTTTTTTTTTTTAAGATTTTATTTATTTGACAGAGAGTGGGAAATAGCACAAGGAAGAAGAGTAGCAGGGGGAGAGTGCGAAGCAGGCTCCTCACTGAGCAGGGAGCCATGCCTGCTGGATCCCAGGACCCCGGGATCATAACCTGAGTGAAAGGCAGTCGTCTAACTGACTGAGCCACCTGGGCGCCCCAACGATGCCTGAATTCTTGTTTAACATGACAAGAAATTATGCAACAGTTATTTAAGGTTGTACTAAACTTCTCATAGATGTGTTTTTTTTTTTTAATTTCCTTTTTTTCTTCCTTTCTTAATGCCTATTAAGTGGAAGCATCATTCATCAAAAACATGTCCACATCCTTTGCCTCTTGTCCTGTGATTGTGATAAAGAATGTGAAGAAACACCAAAAGCTTTGAATCGATACTAGAATTAGTCATATTCCAATGTCATGGTACATCAATCAATATGTGTTAAGAAAGGCCTTGAATTGTTTTTCCTGATAAAATAGAGTAATGGAGGTCTATGTTGAATAATGTACTGTACATCTTCCTCTAACAAGATATTGAATTAGGAAACTTTAGATGAAAAAATTATTGAAAACAGAGCTGGCAGACAGAGATTTGAGAGGAATAGGCAGCTGCCATGTGCAGTGGATTTCAAATTTCCGACATGGCCAGCAGTGCAAGGTGGTGGCAATGGTGGGCACTGAGCTGGGGGAGGGTTGGATGGAATCTGTAGGACATTATGGACATCCAACTGAAAGGGCTTGTGATATTTCTGCTTACTCTCTCAGATCCATTCAATAGGAGCAGATTCAGATTACATACTCACTTTATAAGTTAGCTTTTCATTTGAGCAATTAAAAGCCAAATTAAAAGAATTAAAAATCAAGGGGGATAATCTAGTCTGGCATCATCACCAAGAGATTATGGTTAGTGTAAGTAAAAAGCTTAGCCAGAATTGAGACCCTCCAATGTGAGAAGAATTTTTAAATCTGAAAGGTAATCTGAAGGACATCAGATAATGCAGACTATAAATGAGAGCTCCCCTTTTCAGGATGATATGCTGAGATATGAGTTTTGTGTTTTATAAAAGAACGTTTTATGAAGACAGTAACAATAAATGTGAAGATAGCTATTCCTTGTAGTACTATGTCAATATACGTTAAATAACAGTTTCTTAAAAAAGTGGTCCGCATACAGTAAGCCTATGAATTTTGTAATTATCTAATGGTATTGGAAAACTTTCGATTAATTGAAATAGTAGCACTCTTCAAAAAAGACTAACTCAATAACATTCACTAACATGCCCCACCAAAATTAGGATATAGTAGAAGTGAAACAGTGATTCACCACTTACATCTTCTTTGTGTATTGAGATTTTAGTGTACATAAAACACAAATATACAGAGCACTGAATTTTCTGTTCTTTATATTGCAGACATATTTTAGTAAGGTGAAAGACACATTGATTAAGACAAGATTTCTAAATAAAATATTGTAGTTAGTAATAAGGTCTACAGAATATGGAACAAGTCAGAGGAACTATGCATTAGTCATGTCATTTTTTTTTAAGTTCTGTCGGTTTATTTCCTAGTGACTTGACATTTTATTATTTCTACAAACTCGACGCAATAAAGCTGGGGTCATTCAGATTAATTCAAAGTGGAAGTAATCATCAGCTTGCCAAAGTTGAATTGCTTTTGATGTACTAGGTAATTGCAGCGCCATCATCTTCTATGTGTCCTATTTTTGACACATATGAAACATCTTAATGGCACTTACCTGTACAACACAGATTAAGAAATAAAACAGGTGGCAAGAAATTGCTCAGAGTCGATAAGAATATTTACTTACATACTCATCAAATATACATGCTGTGTTTAAAAGAAAAAAGAAAAAACTTTCCCATGGAAAAGGAGAAAATTGCATGCAGTGAACTCAGATGGAATTACAGAGATCAAATTCTAAAACTTCTTACAGATAATGCTCCCTATTAATCCCAAAGGTAACAGTATCTATTACTCAGTTATTGGCTAAATGGGTCTCCTTTCAGGAAGTATGTTGTTTAAAAAAAATATACTTTGATTATACTTCGGTTATTAGGACTCACACTGGGTTTGTATGTGTGGCTGGGGGGCATTCACTGATACCTAAGGAAAAAGGATATACAATATGCTTTCCTTCCCCTTTTCCTTTGAAAAATTTCCAAGTACTGATGGAAATACCAAAAGAGATATATTTACTTAACAAAACATGAATTAACATATTATCATCTCCTCTGAAATAAAAGTTAAAGACCCCAAAAATATATTGAGTGAATGAAATATATAATACTGTAACAACATTCAGTAATAAGAATAGCAAGTATAAAGAAAATGGAATAATCCATTACATTTCTTTTTAAATACAATTTTATTTTATGTTTATTATAATAACTGAAGTTACTCAAAACAATATATAAGAAGTCAATGCTCAACTTCACAGAGAACTCACTGTACTATATATGAAAAGTAATAAATTTGGAGGTAATGAATGTATATTTTAAAATAGTAGAAAAACAAAAATATTGGAAGGTTTAAGTGGAAATTATTTCCAATTGATTAAGAATGTTAAACATTTTTAGGAACATAAATACATATTACCTGAGACCACATAAATAGATAATTGCTTGAAGTATTACATTTATGTTTAAACTTTAGAAAATATATATTACCATTAAACTTTTGATTCAGTGATTCAACTCATTTAATTGTTCAAATAGTGATCCCACGTGTGTGTGTTTGATTTACCATCTAATCACATAAAAATAAAATATTGCTTTACCAATTCTTTATTGTTTTAATTTCTTAAGCAAATATAAAAATAGC